GAGCAAAGCGGGGGGGGGGGAGCACACAAGTTTGAGGCCTGCAGCAGGGATCTGCCTCCCCCCACACTGACCCATAGCAATGGGTCAAGCAGAGCAACAGCCCCAGCTCCCTACACACCTCCAGCTGCAAGGGAGGGAGGGGGTGGGACTGCCCAGCACAGCGATAGTGGTCACTGAGGAAGAGAGGGGGGATCCCAGCCTTTCCCCGGGGGCCCCCTTTCCTCTCTTCACCTGTCATCTCTGGCAGGGATCTGCCTCCCCCCACACTGACCCATAGCAATGGGTCAAGCAGAGCAACAGCCCCAGCTCCCTACACACCTCCAGCTGCAAGGGAGGGAGGGGGTGGGACTGCCCAGCACAGCGATAGTGGTCACTGAGGAAGAGAGGGGGGATCCCAGCCTTTCCCCGGGGGCCCCCTTTCCTCTCTTCACCTGTCATCTCTGGTTCCCAAGCAGCGTTCCCTGTAAGCTATACTCAACGTGGCCACACAGGAGAGATCCCAGTCCCACCCAGCTGATTAGCAGCTCGCCCACAGCTGGGTGTTTTGTTGCCATTTTATTCTGCACATGGATGGAGAGAATGAACCACATTTGCTCCCAAGGAGTCCAGAGATGAATACACCAGCCCGTCCAGTTTAGAAGCCAGCGCCCGAGGACACAGCTCATCAGCTTCTCTAGGCAAAGCCAGACTCAGACCAGCAGACAGGGCATAGTATTACGGAAGAACAGCCAGACTGTCAGACCAACGTCCATCTAGCCCAGTCTCCTGTCTGCCCACAGTGGCCTGCGCCAGAGGGAGCAAACAGAATAGGTAACCAAGTGACTCCTAGGGGACTCCAAGCCAAAGAAAACGCAGAGTCTTGTATGGACAGTTGGGTTACTTGGGCAAACATTCCCCATGTTGCTAAGCAGAATGCAGCTCCACCAAAGTAAAACACGAGGAGGGCTACCGAGCGTAGACAAGACCTGGCATGAGCGCGACTTGCTTTGAGCAGAATTAGAGAAGGTGGCGTTTAAAACGTGAATGGCCAAAGCGCTCCCCCTAAAAGAGCTGCCTAGGTGTCAGTAAGCGTGGGAAACGCCATGCCAAAAGTGTTATTGTTTTGTTTTTTTACTTAACCCAAGTCAGTCCTTACAGACTAAGAGCGAGGACGATGATAACCTAAGGGCAGCAGCAGAGCACAAAATGCTGGCTTTCATGTTTGTATGACATGTTGGGGGGGTGGAAGGGGGGGGAGAGGAAGAATCTATAAAGGCCACATGTTTAATCAGTAAGTCCATAAACTGAAATGTGGCAGGGGTCCTGCCCGTGGGACAGTAAATGTGCAAGACAATAATTATGCTCTTTTGCTGACCCAACGGAAACAGCCAACTTTGCAAACTCACAGCCTGTTTAACACTCCTTTGCAAAGCCCTGTTTGAACGGCCAACCCTGGCACTCTGTTGCATCGTGGTTTCAGTTCCTGCAGAAAAGCAGCATGTGATGTAACTAGAGGGGTTCTCGAGCATTTTTCTCGAGACCTATTGGCACCAGTAAGGTTTTATCCTTAAGCCGCATCTACGGTGGGGATCTGGGCACTGGTGTAGCCATGCTGAGATATCTACTCTGCTGGAAATCTCGTGTCCGTGTGCTGCACTAGCATGTGTAGAGAAAGTCACCTTTCACACTAGTGCAGGGCTCCTCCGTGACAGGATTTGCACGGGGACAGTGACAGTAGCATAGCTGCCCTGGTGCAAAAATCCCCAGGGTAGACAACCACTGAGTTCCAAGGACTGGCCTTGGACACAAGAGCTTGATGTCTTTACACAAGCCTGCAAAAATAGGCTTGGGCCTGTATTTCTAAGGGGGACAGTCCCATGATCATCGTTCCCACCCCCAGGGAGTCTTCCAGGGTCTACATAATGTAAATAACTCTATTACTCCCCCATGGCCAAAATCACATCAAGCCCCCCCCCCCCCCCCCCTCTGTTTAACCAAATTTTGGAACTTTTTTGTTTCCCTCTGGTGTTTAAAGTTTTAGGGGGGGTGGTGGTTCCAGTTTTCATCACAACCAAACACTTACGGTAGTTTCCCTCTACATGAAAGAGGAGAGTTTCACATAAGTCACCTGAATCCAGGAGCTGGGACTTCAAGAAAAAAAAAACCCTCCAAGTATGGTGAGACCTGGCCACACTAGCTGCCTTCCCCCATCTTTGGGTTATAGGCATAGCCAGAATTTCCTCCCTGGCTCTCCCCCCACAGCTACAATAGCTGTTGTTATGAAGGGCGGACTTTCCCTCCCCCCTCGGGGATTGAACATGCGGCCTCTGCAAACGCCTCTGGCCCAGGGAGTGGCAGATCCCGAGAACAATCCAAACAGCCTCTAAAATCGCAGGGATCTAAGCCAAATTGGCAACGCGGGGTCATCTCAGAATGAAGACAGCCTGGACTAGACATGCCACAGCTATTGTTCCGCCCCACCGGCACGGCTAACTCGTGCGTACATTCCAGATCATTTCTGGCCGCCACTTGGCAGGGCAATGCCATGGTTACCTCTGGATCTGACAGGGCTCCCAATAAAAGGAATATTACGACAGCTCTGAACAATACACTGCTCTTCAGAGGAGCAAACGGGCAGAGACAGATCAGTCGAGCGGCAAAGGATCCTCCCCAGCGTCGTGGGCGCACACGCTGTCTCGTCGGCTGCTGTGTCTAAGCAGTAGCCATGTCTGCTTTCCTACCCGCGGTGCTACGTTGCTCATCTTTTCAAATCAAGTCCCACCTCAAAAGGTGTCCTGCGGCTCTCAAGCTCGGTCTATTTCTCTTCTAGCTCCCTGCAGTGGCAGGATGCCCTGGGCACCACAGAAGCCGGGTTTGATCCAAGCGCCAGGTGGAGCGATCATTGTCCACTGCCTGCCTGCCGGAAGCGCGCTCAGCGGCTGCAGTGGCCGTGGGTTTCCAAGAACGGATGTCAAAGACACATGCCCGATGCTATTTAGCATAAGCTTCCCCTGTGTAAAAGCCCCCATGGAGAACTGCAATGCAATACAGAACGCAGCCTTGGCCTAGACCCCTTATTCTGCGGCTGGTTCACAGAAGGGGGTGAATTTAGCAGCCTAGAAATAACTGCATGGAACCTTGGGGGGGTGGCGGGAAGGGGAGGGAGCTGTCTTGTAACCCCTGCTCAACAGATAACTTCTTCAGAGCGCTCTACCCCTGCACAGACATCTGTATCACACAGGAACCCTCAGGGCAGGCGGGGCGCGGAGACGAACGACACCGAACAAAAGCCGGCGTCACCCCGAAACGCACACGCGGCATCCGGCTCAAAGCCAAGCCGAGCACGGGACAGGGGACAACGCCGCCCTGCCAGCGCGCCTTACCTTAGCCGGCGCGGGCGGAGGGCTCGGGAGGCAGGCGACACGCAGGCTCGCCAGAACTTCCATAAGGATTTCGTGCGCTGGAGCAGCCTGCCTAGCTTAATCCAGGGCATTTTGGAGAGGCAGG